ATCTAACAGATTAATTATCGAAATTTATATTGCAACTTGTAACTCCTTTAAAAACACGCGAGTTGTTTTTCAAGCAACGTTTATCATCTCTATATGGCCATTTCGTTGTGGGGTCCCAAGACCCTGGAAAATAGCATAGGATATAAAGCTTAAGACAAAATAAAATCAGCTCTAGATTCATGTAATATTAGACAAATGAGTTCTTGAGTCTATTAACTCAGTTAATACCCTCCCTACCCCTGTTGAGAGACAACTGTGGGGGGTAGGGTAATAACAGATAATAATCAAGAAAAGCTGACATACTTTCTCACTTTCAAAGTTTTCAAAAAATACCTGGTTCTCCCACTTTCTCCTTTTCCATTTGCATGTTATTTCTTCTCGTTTGCCATGCTGATTTCTTTGGTTCGATAAACTGGAAGAGCACAGCGTTCATTGTGAGATGCAAAGCGATTTTCGTTCAGTTTACAGTCGCTGGCTTTCCATACACAAGTTGTACCCTTGTAATTTTTGTCAAATACTCTGGAGTAGTAATTATAAATGTTTCCTCTTCAAAACATGAATTTCACCTCGACGAAGGTCATTGCTATAAATTCAATGACAGCTTTCGCGTGACGCCAAGAAGCCTGATATAAAAGCTGGCCACAAAACTACAATACATCCTCTGAAAGAACATTACTCTTCCCATATATCAATTCACTACATCGGCTTTTCACCAGCAAATAGATTTCGTTGATCTTCTCTTCTAATGGCTTCTAAATGTAAGGAGAAATCTATTATAAAGTTGTTGTTTTGTGTTAATATATCATTTCACGCTTCCGTTTCAGACTTTTCAATAATTCATTAGCCTTTCAGAGAAGAAAAAGATAATATTTTTAAAGCGGTCTGGTACCGGTAGAACTTTGCTTAACAGACCTTTGAGGCTGACCAGACCATTTCGGATTTGTTATATCGCCTTGCCTTTCGGTCACTTTTGGCTCCAACTTTCTTAAACTTTGGCTTGTTGAAGTTGTGCCTGCTAGAATTACTAAGCCACAATTTGTAAGGGGCTTTATAATAATCCGAGGTTATCCTGGGAAAAAAAATTTAACTTTTTAAAACTGATACTTTAGCAAACTTGTAACATTTGTTACAACAGCATTCGGCACATTGTTGAGTTTAGTATAAAAAAAGTTCAGTTCAGTATAAAAAAAATTTAAAAAGGGAAAAATTTGAGAAAAAATAGAAGTATTTACTTGTATCGAGAATACCATACCACAGATCAGTTTATTTTAAGCATTATTTTCGGGGTGCAATATATGCACCATTGCGTCGTTTTATTGTGTGAGGTTTACATTCCAACCTCTACTAACGGCCACCTCTTTACAACGGCGACTTTTTCTCCATCTGTCTCGGCGGATAGTGGGAAAGGGTAGGCGAGTTTTCCTCGTTGACGTCACAGGTTTGACCTAGCTGAGAACTTTTGGGGACTAGACGGAGAAACGCCCACGCTGGATTGAGAGGAAAGGTTCGACCCTCGATAATCCCAACAACTTTGAGAATATGTCCTCTGTAGGGAGAGGGTCTCAATGGGGTTAACCGATAGGCGTAAAACGGCCAAAAATTTAGCCGATAGCCGTAAAAATTAAAAAAATTTAACCGTTAGCCGTAAATAGCGTAAAAAAGAGTTAACCGTAAAAGAAAGTGTTCCCTAGATTTGCTTCTTTTAAGGAAGGTACTAAACTCACTTATGGTTGCGTTTTTTATTTCCCGGCTAGTGTGACGTTAGGCGAAGCGCCTTTTAGGTGTTAACCAAGACCTAGGCTCCATTTCCGGCGCTTTCTTGGGGAACTAATTTTTTCCATAGCGAAAGTGTGGCTTCTTCCTGGGGATTAATATTTGCAATTTTCAGGGGGCTGTGCCCTCAAAACACTAGTGAAACAACACCCAGAGATGTCACTGTTTGTAAAACACGTTGCCGATAAACAACATTTCCCTGTTTTTCTCGGACGCTTCGGTAGACATCGCCATGCCTAGTCCCTGTTCGGCGTCTTCCCTCGCAATCTCGGTCAAAGCATTTCAGTGGCGAACTCGCTCGGACCACATGACCCGAAAGGCATCAGCCGCGCGGAATAATGCGGCCTACGGACAAGGCAACTGCAAGACAGTCGGTTCCGTACAGTCCTTCGCTATCATTAAAAACACTGGACACGGGAATTTTGTTATTGGCCGTTTTCACACTAGACTTAGAAATGGATCATCCGTCTGAGAATAGCCCGTGTACAGTCGCGCCCTCCCCACAGACACCCCTTCTCCGATTTTTTTCTGAGGGGAGGGGGCAGCTGTACACAGGCTATCCGGAACGGATAATCCTGTCTTCAAAAGTCAGGCGGATTGTTTATTCAAAATTAAAACTATTCCATTGCCAAATTAAGACGTATCACCTATCTGACGCGAATCATCAAATGGATAACCCGTCTCACACGAATAATCCTTCTCTAGTGTGAAAACGGCCATTTCTGTTATAATGAATGTCGCGCCCCGGCCTTGAGTTGGGCGTTCGCGTGCCTGCTTTTGCTTTTTCACAAAGATTATTTTTAAATTGACTATTGACATTTCTATGTGTCAAATAATATCAGAAGTGCAATACTTTATAAAAAGTATGATCTATCAAATGTTAAAATTTTTCAAAAGAATAGCTTATTTCATCCCGAGATGATCCGACCGAAGACCTTTATTTTGATTTAAAGATACAAAAAATACAGGTTAATTAATATTTAACTTTTTGAAACAAAAGAAGTTAATTTTTAACTTTTTCGTTAACCGTAACTGAAAAAAATTAACCGATAGCCGTAAAAGAGCCAAAATTTTGGCCGATAACCGTAAAAGCCACCACCCCATTGAGACCCTCTAGGGAGGATTAAGTTAATGAAGGAATTAGCGTGCAGTGGGTATACAATTACATTGCCTCTTGTTTAAACCTCTCCACAACTGCCACCTCTCCCAACGGCCACCGCCAGTTTTTTCAGCGACTGACGAAAAAGTCAAGAATATTCACGAAATTTGAACTGTATCAGGGCGCGTTGATGATTTACGTGGCAATCGCATTTTGATTCTGCTCCATTTGTACACACAGCTGCAGTAAGCATTAATTGTCCGGCTACGATACTTATAGCGTTGCGAACCTTGCACGTTTTTTCATGTTGACATTTTGGCTCAAAACATTATTTAATTTTTTTGTGTGTCTTTATTTTATCTCGGTATATTATTTACGTTGGATACCCAGATGGATAGCTCGCTCGCAGGAAAATGTTAACCCTAATGATAGCACTTTCTTCTCTCCCCAAACTTCCACTGCTTTCAAAATCAAAAACAGTGACTGCGCCAGAAATGTCGAGCACTTGCTCCCCGAAAAATTATATACCCACAGCACGCTAACTCCTTCCATTAACTTAATCCTCCCTACAGAGGACATATTCTCAAAGTTGTTGGGATTATTGAGGGTCGAACCTTTCCTCTCAATCCAGCGTGGACGTTTCTCCGTCTGGTCCCCAAAAGTTCTCAGCTCGGTCAAACCTGTGACGTCAACGAGGAAAACTCGCCTACCCTTTCCCACTCTTCGCGCAGACGATAACAGTCAGTCATTAGACACTGACCAAAGTTGACACATGCACGACCAAATAAGTTGATACCAAAGACTATCATTCTGCAAATGAATAAAATTTACCTTGGAGCGTAATGTAGAAGTGATATCAACGACATAATATTGTAGGCTGTTCCAGGCCCCAAGAAAGTGGGGAGAACGGATCGAGGAAAAAAAGGGCGAAAAGCCGCTTGAGGGCCAAGGAGAAAGCGTGCGCTTTTTTTCGCTGGTCGCTCGCTTTTTCGCTCGTACACACTGACCAAGAGCATGGCACAGACCATAATGTAATATTGTTGCAGTGAATACAGTATATGGCACTAATCAGTCTACTTGCGGATTCCGCACCTATCACGCACAATTTTTTTTTAAAGATCACCACCCCTCCGCTAAGCCAATATTTTACCCTTAGTGAGAAGTAAGTGTTAATGTGAACTTAGGGGAAGGGTAGGTGGGCAGTTTCCCAGAAACGTATAATGATCCAAAATCAGAACTTATGTGTTATTGATCGAGTCCAACCGCATGTCTTTAAATTGTCCGGCCGAAAAGGTCACTTAGCCAGTAAAATGTTCTTTCGAGAAAGAGGCGGAATTATTTGCAGCTCTGTGCAAAACATATGCGTGCCAACAAACAGATCCTCACGAATCAAAAATGGTGCAACCCGCGACCAGGCTCCCAGTGGAGTAAAGAGGCCAACCGAGCGGGAGACTGAGGAGGAAACGGGACCTCGCCCTGTCCTCTCCCCATTCCCCCGCTCGCTGTCGTTGTTATTGTTGTTTTTACGCTATTCACTTTTTCCCCCACCAAGAAGCCTGCTTCCTGGCTAATAATGAAAGGGTGATTTTAAGTGTGGAGGAAATATTGTGGTGAGACCACCCAAAAGGAACTTTCACACGGTGGTATTTATTTATTATGAAGAAAGACTAAAAGGAGCTTTGATAGGAGGATAATGGTCTTAATGGATAATGCTCTCATGATCCCTTTATAACGTTTGAGTCTGTGGACGGAATTCTATGGTGTGAACTGTAAAATGAAAGCTCTTGAGCAGTACTTTCACATTGATGGTACTATTTATTACTAACTTTTGAGTAAACTTTTTGTATGAAATCCGGTGGTGTTACCATTCAAATGAAACCTCGATCTCTTCAGCAGTACTTTAACATGGCACTGTTTATTTAGTATGTAGTTCTAACTTTTGAGTCTGTGGATGAAATCCTATGGTGTGACCATTCACATGAAACCTCTTAAGTGGTACTTTCACATGGTGCTATTTATTTAGGATATAGTTCTAACTTTTGGTACTATTTGTTTTCAGACTTTCATAAAACAAAATTGGAAGCTTTTATCCAGAGGTTTGATTTGCTTTCTCTTGGGAGTCAAAGTTTTAAAGTAAGCTTTTTTGATACCCTTTGATCCATTGTTGAGCTGGGAAAGTATCATTAAACAGCGGAGATGAAAGATTTCGCAGCAGTCTATACGATCCTTGTATTGGTATATAACCCATCATTTTCATGACATCTCGGCAATATCGTTCAATGATGTTCATGTCTAAAGGATCTGCTTTAAGTCGCCATTTGTTCAGAACTTCTAGCGAGTTTCTTATAACAGACGTGGGGTTCCTTGCTTGTTGTTGAAGATCGTTAAAATTAGGCTGTGTTGTGTTGACTACCCACTGTTTAATGCTTTCAAGTACTTCAAGACCGGCAAACTCGAACAAGTAATCTAAAAGCTGCAAAGGTTGAACTGCCAGGTCTTCGTATCTAACCAGTACATAGCGACGTCGAAGAGACAGGTCCAGAGATTTCGCCAGTTGAAGGTTGTTTTCTGTTACTTCGCAGTGAAAATAAACAAATTGTCGCAGTGACGGCTTGGATTTGTGATCCACCTCTCTAAAGAAGGCCACTTTCCTGGCCGACATCACAACTGGCCTTATGTCTCGAATTAAGTGAATTACTTTACATTCGATTCTCGCCAGTTCACACACACCAAATAGCTTCTCAACTGAATTACCGGGAATACGGTCAAAAAGCAGCTTGTATACGATTGTGTTGTACTGTGATTTGCATGAATGTTCAAGGGTAGCTTCATCTAGAGGAAAACAAAAATTAAAATGCCATCTGGGATCCGAAGGTTCATATTTACAGAAAGGAGGAGAACTCAATGCCCGGCTGTAGTGCCGATAGAAGTGACCAAAATGGTGCGCGGCATTTTCAGCGCTGAAATCGCACTGGAAAATGCGGTAAAGAAAATTCAATGCGTACGTCTCGTAATTTTGGTCTTTCTGTTTAGGAATCAACCCGTGAAGAGGCTCGAAGACGTAAAAAACGCGCGGATGGTGGTTAAAAATATCCGCCAGGAATGTCGAACCAGATCTGCCATGAGCTACTATGAGCAAAACTTGACGTTTACTTGAGGTTTGTAATTGTGGATTTGCCGAGGAGGTATCCTTTGTTGTGTTCGCAGGAGTCCATGTTACCATCTGCTTATCGGTTACAAATGCGTCACCTAACGCAGGAAATGAGTTTTGTATTTTAAAAATGTCTTGAGGATATCTTTCCAAGAGGGCAAACAGAAATCCGACAGAAAGAAAAGCGGCTGTTATCAATACACTGAAGAGATGCCTTTTAGTTCGACTTCCAACCATCTTACCTCACTCAGCGTGTACGCCATAGGTCGAGGAGATCCTAAAAATAAAATTTAAAAAAATAATGATTATCGTAAATATACAGCTAAGAATTCGACTATAGAATACATGTAAAAGATTTGCATTTCAATGTAACATGTTCTCCTAGGGACTGAAAATATTACAGCATTTCTCCAGCATACAGTGTCAAAAAGATTTAGTCAACAAAGTTTCTTAACCAATTGAAACTGTAGTTTGAACTTTCAATTTTTTGAAAGCAAATATAAACCAATTTTAACTAGATCCAAAAAAGGACTTGGTAAATGTATACAGATCCTATTTCCAAGAAAAGATCGTAGGATAAATACTAAATTTTATGCCGTTAAAACTTAACTATTATTAACTCTATTTACGGTCGAAATTTCCTTTTAGTTTTGGCCTCAGTGTTTTTGCACCTGGTTTAAGCTAGATACCGTTAACACATCCAAACTTAGCAGTAAAATAATAGCAGCGTTAATTACTTTCAAAACTCTGCTTGAAGAAAAACAGATTCTCTTGAATTCGAGTCCAAAGAATACGCGCTTTATTCAGCAAGAAATACTGATACAATTCTGAAAGAAATCACGAAACGATCTTCTCATGCTGAGCATCTGAAACCAAAATATACTCACAAATCATGCAGCTGTTTGGAAACAATGAATCACCCTAAAGCGACTTAGAGACGAGGCCGGGTGGATTTTTAATGTTTTAAAATGAAATTGAGAGCGAGAAATAGCTTGAGTATAGAAAGAAAGTCGCGTGAAAACGTCTATATGCCACATGAGAATCATAATAGGAAAAAATTAAAAACTCGTTCAGTCGTAAAGATGTCTTGTAATTAGGCCTCAAGGCATAAAAAAATAACAAATAGGCCGATCTAAATTTCCTTCACTTCTTTAAAATTTTTAAACGGAATGACGTGTAACCGTAGCAACGGAGTTTGAACAAGTCATCAAAAAAGAAAAAAATTAAACATTGGAAACAATGCTATTCATCGCGTGCAGTTAAGAACGAGACTTTAACAGTTGCAGAACTTTTTAAGAAAAAGCTTTAAATTTTAGTTGAAAAAATTTTTTTAGCATCTCTGAGTACAATAGAAATGAGTTGAAAAATGAAATTTGGAAATCCTTTCTTTCTTATAGTGGCATATCATATTTACCAGTGAATTTAATCACCAGGCACGTTTATGCCAAAAATCCTGGTCAATTCGGATAAGCGCTTTTCTCGGATTGCAATGGATGTATTAAATAAGGTGGCATCACTTGCCATAGAATTTTAGCTTCGTTTCCTTCTTAATTAAAACTTCAAAGTAGTAGATGGCCGACAAAAAAAAGCGCATTTAACTGACTTGAAGAGAGCTTTAAGGTTCAATTTTGCGTTTAAGTATTAAACACAAACAAAATAGATTTGAATACTCACAATCTTTTTTCTTGACCATTCAAAAACAAAACCAACATTACTGGCTGTTTGTTGAGGTAATTTTGATGAAGAAGCTAACGTTCGTCGCGTAATGCCCGCTTCTTTGCGAAATTGTGCTCACACTAAATTTGACTTTCAATGACTCATTCTATTTCATTTTGTTCTATCCAAGTAGCATCTGATTGGCTTGTGCTACGTATTAAAATAATTAAAGCCTCTTTAGGGAGCCTGGTTTATAACAAAATCACAAAAAAGAGATCGACTAATTGCCTTGTTCCCTGCTACGAAAAATGGTTTCATGTGGCTGAGTGGCCATGTCATTCCCATCCTTGGAGATCCAGGAGCGGACAGTCGAGTCGAGAAAAACGGCAGCGAAAGTTTTTAAGAGCGGGCGAGAGAGCCCTGGATGCTACTCTTAACGAAGCAGTTCCACGACTCATTTGAATGCTTGTCTATATTAGAGACCAGCATCTATCGCACTGCTTTCGTGATCTTTTTATACGATGGAGTTACCTACAAACTCTTTCTTTCGTCCTTTTACGCTTGCCTCTCCGAAGGAGTAAGTTTTGGACTTCGCCAATAGGCAGCGAGCGCAATATGTAGGTAGCGAACTCGAACGTAGCGAATTTCAGACAAGTAGCGAAACCGGTGTAAAGCAATGCGATTACGAAACGCGAGTGACTGGTGACGAACCGCGAGGGACCAAGGGAAGGAGAAAGAAGAAAGGTGATTTCCTTCCCATCTTCCCTTTGCGCGCAAATTTATATCGAGAGAGAGACGTCTGGGAACGAGGCAGGCTCCTGACTGTGCCTTAAAAAAGGAGGGAATAGTTGCAAAGGCGGCATAACCTCATTTTACTCACCGTTCCACATAACTCCACCGAGTTGAAAAAACTCGCCATCAGCGTGCTTGTCACTGAACAGCCTGTCTTTTCTCATTATATAAAGACCACAAACTGATCCTGGCATCTTTACCACCAGCGGCAAGCAGTTGTCCATACTCTGGCAAGTCGTCCGAAAAATCCACTGCATTGACAGTGTCTGTATGGTAATCGAGATAGGCCAGAGGGGTGAGCTTTTTCCAGTTGTAAATCCTTAACCTGTCCGGGAAGAACAACACGCTCTAAAAGGGTATTCTCGGGATCCAGGATTTCGGCGAACTGTAGTGCGGAATTCGGAAAAACGCACAATTTCTTGACGGGATACGGGATTTGATAGCCTGCGTGCAGACGATAACTAAACTCTGATTAGTAGCCGTCTGCGAAGCAGCGCAGAGATCCTTGTTCTGAACCCCCAACGGACTCAACCAATTACCGGAAGTGCGTTTCGAATTTCCCTTCAACCTGATTGGCGATCACGACAAACAAAACAAAGGCCTTTTTTAACTGGCCAATCGTGGCGCGTACTCAAATCTGGGTACACAGCTGGAAGTCCAGAACAAGGATTTCGGCGCTGTTTCGCAGACGGAGTTAACCAGAGTTTAATTTCGTCTGCGCGCAGGCTAGGGATTTGACCGATACCCAGGATTCGGGATTTGCCTTAAACGTGATTCTAAATCTTTCTTAAATGCTTCCCTTCCTTAGCCTGCATGTAAAGTCTCCATTTGAGAATCACGAGAGGCGACCACGCGTGACCTACGACTTGCGCGACTTTCAAACAGAGAGCTTTCTCGCACGCTATCTTATCTATCTCTCCTTCCTCTTCCAGCCATTTGTGGAGCGGAGTGAGTGGCGCTAAAAAAGACTATTACAGATCGTTTCGCTACAAAGTCGTGGACTCGCTAAGAGTTGTGGTCTTGCGGCGAATCGACTTCAAGATGCAGCGAGACGAATTTACTTGTAGCGAAACGACTTAATAGTAAGGCGACCGAAGAACCGAGCGTGCGACACGTCTTACCTGCTGTCCCATCCTCCAGTGGCCATGATCTTGCCGTCTTTTCGAATTTTAACAGAAGAAATTCCCTGGTTCTTTAATTCAATCTGTTTGTCTACTGATATTGCGCACTAGAGTCAGAGCATAAGAGGTTGTTAGTAATTGCTAAATTTCTCAATGGAAAGTTCTTTAGGTCTGAAAATAAGGCAGTTGCATTCTAGACAAATCGCACCAGGAGAAGAATCCAGGAGGGTGCTCGTATAAAACTTTGTTGAATGCCCCACCCACCTCCTGGCATTTAATACACTCACCTGGGAAGATATCAATAATACACATATTTTGTTATCTGCTGAGCCTGAGACTATACGAAGATTTTTTACATCTACATCCATACAGAGAACTAAAAGAAAGAAAGAAAAAACTGTTCCAGAAATGGAAGCCTCCAGGCCCCAGTTGTTCAAACTTCTATACAGAGGCAAGTATTAGGGAAAGAAATTGCATCATCCAGTGGATATCGCTATCCACCTTTTGAACAACTGGGGTCAAGACATATAGTGGGTGGGGGGGGGAGGGGGGTTAGGGAGTCCAAGCCTCCTGTCTTCTGTACCTTACATTTTCGGCTCCTCCCCTTTTCTTAGCTTCCTCCCTTTAACCTTTTGTCAATAACGAAATGTTGAGAAATAATTTCCGCCCTGTTTCCTTTGCATCCTGCCCTTTTAGATCTCCTATCTCCCTCTCTCTTCTCCTATACCCCTCCCACCCCCAATTCTCCTGGGCTCCCACTCCCCTGATCTCCCCACCTAAGTTAGCAAGGGCCCTTTTTTAATAAAAGAGGGTCCCCAGTAGGTTTTTTGGGAACCAGGATTGAAGGCCGGGATTCAGGATTGAAAGTATGCATGGGCTACAGGATGCCGGGTTATGTGTCTGCTATTTTGTCCTTTTTTCAGGACATGCAGGCTGCTCAGGTAGTGATCATGATTTTGTTACAAATAGTTATGGTGAGTCCTGGAACTCATCTTGTGAACAAATCACGAGTCATACTCCAGAACCATTGAGTCCAAGTTCCAAAAATAAAACCGGTAAGTCCTAAATTGAAATGCTTGGGCCTTTATGTGACCAGATACTAAGATTAAAGATATTCTTTTGAAAAGTACAACAAAGACTATAAGGAAAATGCAATCACAGGAACTGGATATTCTACAAAAACATCTTCAGATAGATCGACCGATCTTTGCGTCCTACAGGACCCGTGCCACGAACTTTTGTCGTCTTTGGGATTTTTATGCGTCAGGGACATAGGGTGCAAGGGGAACAAAATCACTACTCAGGACTCAAATGGGCTTTGCCACAGACAGCCCAATAAGAAGGTGGTGCCCTGGGGTACCATTACTTAACATAAGACCCCCAGATAACAAGTTTTCATATATGGATGTCCTACCCACTAAACAACAAATTCATTATTACCTGATTCAGAATGGACTGTAATGTTGCTCAATTTTTTTTCCTCCATTACATCCCACAGTAGCATCTGCCCATTTTCATATCCTGCAGCCAACAGAGGCTTCTGTGTTTTTGGATTGTTAAATAGCGACAAACACATGCACATTCCTTCAAAAGAAAGACAATAAAACTGAAAACAACTTTTAAAAAAATGTGACATGAACCTAGTTTAGTGGCCTTAGCTCATTGGGCACATTAATCAGAATTTTTCTCTCTGGATGGTTCCTTTGCGGTCCCATGCAATTGATACACCTTTCTTGATGTACAGCTCCAAAAAAAATGCATACCCAAACCATGGATCTCCAGAAATTTCAAGAAAGAGTGGGGTCTTAAAGCTTCAAAAAAATTAAGGAAAGTTTGAAGCTAAACTGGAATTTCTAAAGAGGTAGGGCAGCATGACCCAAAAGATCCTCAGTGGGAGAAGAATGGATACATTATTCTGGAACACGATACTGATATTGTCTTACTTACCCAATGACTTTTTCTCCTCAGACTTGAAAGTGAAGAGGGTTTTCTTAGATTCTAAATCAAGAATGTTTATCTAAAAATTCATTTAAAAAACACACAGAAGTCTTACTCAAAATACAATAATATTTGCTAGAGAATAAAAAAAAATGTAAATCCTCCCTCCAGCCCCACCTCTCGAAAAAGCCTGCCCCCACCTTCCGGAGGAAGAAAATTTTTAAGCCCCCCTCCCTGTTTTAAGCCACCCCCACCCTTCCCTCTTATTCTTAAATGATAGACTATATTTCACTATAACACATCTTCATGTGGACTGATCTGGTATGGTGTATTCACATGCTGAAAGACTGGATTTGTTTTTGAAATTCGGATTCATGAACTCCAACTTCATGTGCCTGGGCTTTTGCACTTTTGCACATTCTAGTTCTTTATGGACAGCTACCATAATCTTCACTAAATTAAATGAGCCCTCCTCCCTCTTAAATAAGCCCCGTGTCTCTAAGCCACCCCTTGGGCTTAAAAATAGAGGATTTCAACATCTTCCACTCAAAAATTGTAGTGAGTAACAGGGACAAACACATTTTATTTACCTGCTGTTGTAGCTAATTGTATAGGAAACAATCAATTAATTTTGAACTTAATCATTATAAATTTTCATCACTACTCTGGCAGAGACAAAATTTTGAGCTTTTGCCACTGCTTAAGTCTTGTTGTTGATGTTGTTTTTTGTTTAAAAAAATCAGAATTTTCTCTCAGCCAGTGTACATGAAGCAATTCAATTCTATTCTTACCTGGGGAGCAGAGGATTCTCTCTTACATGGCTTTTAGTGTTTACAAAGTCATTTGCATGGCTTGTCAGTCACGCAGTTGGTTTGTTTTATATGCCCCGTCATAAACAAATCAACTATGTACGTGACAGAAGAGCCACGCTCACAGGGTATTCAATTCTTTATTTTACACCATATAGGGCACTTGCACAAGTTATATAACGACAAATAGAAGAAAAAATGGAATAATAAGTAATCATCAGGCTAAAAAGAGGTAATGTACATTAATGTGTGCAGTGACCAAAGTAACAAGGGCCTTCTAGTTGGACACTGCCACATTCAGATAAATGGCAGAAAAGAAGAAAAAAAAAACTTGAATTATATCAGTGATGGAGCCAACAGAGTAGAGGTACATGTAATATCAAGTTTGATTAATCAAAAACTAGTATTTCCATTTGTTCTTAAACTTTTAATATTATATGGTAGATATTTGAGAAAAAGTGGCACAGTTTCCTACATTGTACCTTACCTCAGATTGTTCAGATGATGGCAAAACAATCCAGTTTGAGTCATTTCCTGAAAAGAGCATTATTTTAAACTACCACGTCAATATTAATCAAGACAAGATGTAAAGATCAGTCACAACAAAGAATTCTCATAGCAAAAACTGAGAAATACTCCACAAAATGAAGAGTAGGGGAGTTTTCTTTAACACTGTACAAAATATAGAGGTGGATCTAGGGGGAGTGTCTTATGTGGGATGCTCCTTCTCGATACATGTACACCAGTCTCCAGATGAACTCCCCATTCCTGTTATTAGAAAGAGGATGTCAATGGGTTAACAGAGCTCGAAAAAAAAAAAACTTGAATTGGAACTTGAAATTGGAACCAAGTGGTGTCTAAAATACAGGGTTGTTCAAGAGGGATTCCCTTATGTGGACTCTCCTTCTTAAATGGAGTCTCCAAATGAATTCCTCTCTTATTAGAATTAGAGGATGTTTATGGGTTAACAAGGATTAAAAAAAAATTGGATCAGGACATGAAATGGAGCCAAACAGTGTCCAAAATACAGGGTTTGTTCTGAGGGGGATCCCTTATGTGGACTCCCCTTCGTACACCAGTTCAGTCAATATGAACTTCATCTGTTTTTAGAATTAAAGGATGTCAATGGATTAACAGGGCTTGAAAAAAATGTGAATTGGAACTTGAAATGGAACCACATGGTGTCTAAAATACAGGGGTTGTTCTTGGGGGATTTCCTAAGGTACTTGTGTATTCCCTTTGTTACACCTTCTCCTTTCCCCTTATTAGAGGATGACAATATAATGATAGGCCAACAGAGATTGAAAAAAACTTTGATTCCAACTTGAAATCCTCTGGATAAGAAGCCCTTACAATTTTGCTTTCCTACAGTCACAGCTTGCTTGTACTCATATTAATTGCAGAATTAAAAGACTAGAACTTGTCTAGATTGAATGAATCAGCTATGGCCTGAAAGAAGGTTTGCACCTCAACATACCTCTTGGTGAAATACAAAACTGGCAAAAACCAAGAAAAGGAACTGAAAGACTGTTCACCACTTCAGATCTTCCTTCACAACAGTTCCACGATTTAAGATACCCATCTCGTCCATGACTATGAGAAACATGATTGAGGCATCATCATCTGACAATGACAATTAACTTTCATGCCAAACTCTGTTTCATTTGGATATTTTTAACAGTTAAGGAAGGGATGGTGGACTCACAAAAAGGAAATGAGTGTTTTTTGGTGGATTCAGAAGGCTTGACCTTTGTAATGGTAACCATTTGAACAATAATTGAAAGGGTATATATTATCAAGTCAAACAATCAGAGCTCTTTACTAAATTCTAGGCAGTTTTACAAAACCAGTATGGAATTGTTTGAGCCAAAATGCAGATGTCTTGCTCATAAAATATCCCAGCAGTGGGAAGCAATGAAAAGTGACTGTATTAATTTTATCGGACAAGGAAATGCAAAATTACCAATTTTCTTACTTTTTTGATCCCTCCTACTAACCTGACAACTTTTCCACCAGGAAGAAAATCTGCAGCAAGGATTCCATTCCCATTATGGCCATCCAGAATAAGTACTGTTCTTTTTGTTTTAAGACTCCATAGGTTAATAATACCTTTAGCAGACCTTGCAATGAAGTTACAAATATTTTTAATACCGAGCGACTTTAAGGTAAAACCATGAACAACAATATATAAGGAGCTATCCATTAATAATTATTATAGCCGTAGGGTGCAAGAACATCGTATCATCCATGATGACCCCATTGAGTTTAGAAAGGTCGGTTCCAGCTATTTAGTTACCTCCTCAGGCTGGAGAAATGAGGCACAAGCATCCCAAGGTGGAGTTGGACTTCTGCTAAGTCAGAAAGCAAGAAAAGCTCTGCTGAAAACCAAGCGAATCAGCAAAAGAATCATGACGGCTGAATTTGATGGCAATCCTAAGACTACTGTGATTGTTGTTTACGCACCTACTAACTGTGCGGATGAAGTTGAAGTCGAGGAATTTTATAATGACCTGAGAGATACCCTGCAGGATGTCCCAGCACATAATTTTCTTGCTTGTATTGGAGATTTCAATGCAAGACTAGGGCCGGATGAAGTTCCATTCACATATCATGATGTAACTAACAGAAATGGAAAGTACCTCGTAGAATTATTATCTGAGTACAGTCTAATAGCAGCTAACACTCAGTTTAAGAAACGACCAGGAAAATTGTGGACCTTCATAGGTAGCACAGGATCGTTGCGGCAACTCAATTACATATTAGTGCGCCGTAACTGGAGGAACAGCGTCCAGAATGCTGCCGTGAAGCTTACAACACCTTCAGCACAGTGGGTTCTGACCATCGGGTAGTTTGTGCTAAAATCAAGCTTAGTCTTGGAATATCTAAAGCAGCCAAGAAGATGAAATATGACTGGAAGCAGTTTTCCACTGACCCAGACCTTCAGTGGAAATACACAGTCGCTGTCAAGAATAGATACCACGTATTGAGTGATGAAGGTAATGGGGTTAAGTATGAAAAGTTTGTTAAAGCCAACAGACAAGCTATGGAAGAATGCCTGCCTAAGAAAACAAAAGCTAGGAAATCCCTCCGATCATCAAACGCACAAGTGGTATCAGCCCGCCAGGAAGCACAGGCGGCGCAGAGTCTGTACGAATGCACCAACACCGAGGAAGATAAAGAAGCTTGGTCTCAAGCCCTGAGTAATCTGTATAAAGTATATGATCAAGTGAGGGAAGTGGAATTAGAGGCACAAATACGAACCATCGAAGCCTCTCATGAAGCCCAGAAATATGGTGAGGCATGGAAGGCAGTTAATGAGATTACTGGAAGGAAAAGAGCTAAAGAAGGTCAAGTAGAGGGATCAAGCCCTGAGGAACGAGTGATCACATGGTTCACCCACTTTAAGAAACTCCTGGGTAATCCCCCAGAGGTAGAAGATCTGGACGAAGAAATACCAAACATCTTTGAGGACCTTGATATCAATGACGGCCTGTTCACTATAGAAGAGCTCAAGAAAGTGAAATCTTCATTAAAAATCGGGAAAGCAGCTGGCCCGGATGCAATACCACCTGAAGTATTCAAGTTATGTGACTTTGACAACATATGTCTAGACTTCTGCAATCAAGCTCTGATAAAAAATGACAAACCTGATCTGTGGTCCTATATGAATATCATCCCTGTACCTAAATCTGGGGACTTGTCAAAGACCGATAATTACAGGGGAATCAGCCTGATTTGCATCATAGCCAAGATGTATAATCGCCTGATTTTAAACCGAATCAGGAGTGTAATTGACATCCGACTCAGAGTGAACCAGAACGGTTTCCGGCCCAAAAGATCTACAGTGGCCCAAATATTAACACTCAGAAGAATAATCGAGGGAGTTAAAGCAAATAACATTGAAGCTGTCATGACTTTTATTGACTTCAAGAAGGCATTCGACTCAATTCATCGGGGTAAAATGATGCGTATTCTTAAAGCCTATGGGATTCCACCTAACCTGTTGCAAGCTATAGAGATGATGTATACGAATACAAAGGCCAAAGTGGTTTCTCCAGATGGAGAAACAGAGATGTTCGACATCACAACCGGTGTACTGCAGGGCGACACATTAGCTCCTTTCCTGTTTATAATCGTGCTTGACTATGCTATGAGTAAAGCTATGGCTGGGAAAGAAGAAGAGTTGGGATTTACCATCACCCCTCGAAGATCAAGAAGACACCCCAAAGTAGTTCTTGCTGACTTAGACTTCGCAGACGACATAGCACTACTGTCGGATGAAATAGCTCAAGCTCAGGAATTACTGCTAACAGTTGAAAAAGAGTGCAAGAAAGTTGGCCTGGTACTGAATGCTAAGAAAACAAAATCAGTTGCTTATAACATTGATGATCGAACACCATTACATACATTTGATGGTACTTATCTGGAATGGAAGGATGACTTCAAATATTTAGGGTCATGGGTTGATAACTCAGAAAAAGACATCAGCATAAGGAAAGCGCAGGCTTGGAGAGCTTTGAATGGTATGACGAAAATATGGAAGTCCAATATGAGTAAAGATTTGAAAATCAGATTCTTCATAGCCACCATTGAATCAATCTTACTTTATGGATGCGAGAGCTGAGCTCTGTCAAAAGCACAAGAAAAGTCGTTGGATGGAACATACACTAGGATGCTGCGAAAAGCTTTAAACATCCACAGGAGCAGCCACATACCAAACCAACAACTGTACAGAGATCCACCAGCAGTCAGCAACAACATCGCCTCTCATAGGCTACAACTTGCGGGACACTGTTATCGCCATCCAGAGCTAAGTACCCAGAAATTAGTCCTTTGGGAGCCCAAACATGGCCATCGCAGGAGAGGAAGACCGAATACTACCTATATTGACACTCTTAAGAGGGATACTGGGATATTCGAAGCAAGTGAGATTGCTGCACTGATGGCTGATAAGAGGCTGTGGAAAGATCTAGTGGTTGCCCGCCTTCGGGCGACTAAGTGAGTGAGTGAGTGCCGTAGGGGGGGGGGGGGGAACCTGTTGAATTCAGTATCACATGACAGCAAATTTTGACCATTGAGAATACTCATCCACATCAAGAGACCAGTTTAGTTTTCTCCATCCTTCTTTTTTTCACAATATCAACCCACCGGGTGTTCCAAACAACACCAAGGAAAAGCCTTTGCAGATTTACCACTGTTTCCCGAATAAATGGAAGGAGGGGTGGCAGAACACAAGAGGAAAAACCGAAGGTTCCACTTTCTTTGTAGAAATTGAGGTTAAAATACCTACCCAGAAAGTAAAAGCCCTTCCTCTCTTGTAGACTTTGGAGCAAACCTGAGAACATTGATAGCTGCTCCGGTACCCCGAAAGACATACATTGGATCCGGTGGGCTTCTATTAGCCATAATTTCAAGACATCTGTCATTAGAAAACTCTTCAATGCTCTGGAAACCAATTTTTGATCCAGGCGTCAAATGAACAATGAGGAGGACTGGAGACTACTACAACGTAACTCCGCTGGATATTGAGGGCGCAAACAAAATGGCAGCAGGTTCGGCAAGGTGGTGGTGACTTGCAATTTTTGTCTATTTTATCTTGATTTTGAGTAGTAATCTCGTTTCAATCCGTAGTCTTTAATTTTTAGGTCTGAAATGATGTTTGAGAGTTGCATTTTGTGAGTTTTGTTCGTGCAACTAATCGCGTGCCGCGTCGGTTTGCGTCACGCGCAGAAAATGCCACGCGCTGCTTTCGATTTTGCTTTGCGTATGCAAGCAAATTTCAATTTCGTGTTTTGCGTTAGTTAACGATTTTCTCTGAAGATCCATCAGTTAGTCAATGCATTAACCGAAGCATTCAAGTATTGAGAATCGAAACCTGTCCGATCTAAACATCGAAAGCTTTCCTTGACATAATAATGGCAAATGAAACACCACCTGGTCAAACTTTTTCCTCGAATGAGGCAGCGTTAGCTGTCGAAGAAAGGGCGCCCTTAAAGAGGAAGTCCGACGAAATCTTGGGGAATGACCAAAAGAGACGGCAGCGCAGCGAGGAGTCGTCGATTGTGGAACAAGATCGGAGAGTTATTATTAGTGAGTTGTTTGATACTTATGGACTGTATAATTATAGCTGTATGTGAACCAAAACAATAATAGCATTGAAGGCTGGTTTGTAGATGTTGAAGTTCAAATTTATCCTTTGTCCGCATTTAATTTTCCTATCCTTCATTTCAATCTTACTATTATCGGGAGAATTGGTTAAAGAACCAAGTATTTTTCTCTAGGTGATGATCATTTTATTAATAGACCTTGTCACGGTTTTCGACGCCATCTTGACGAGTAGGCAAACGTGTGAGAAATTACAGTGTTTGTATGAGAATCTAATGTCGAATAATTGCCGTAAAACGGATCTTCTGAAAGAAATATCGATTGTAAACTAAAGCTATATTGTACTAAAAAATTTGGGAGGCGTACCTGTGCTTAAGTTTCTTCAGACACTTGCTTTAGATTTTCTATATATTTGTCTGTAATTTTTCCCGGGACTTTCTTACAGACAAATGTATAGAAAATAGAGTACTAAAGTGTGACGTCATAAAAATGAAATTTCTGAAATTATGGGATTTGTCAGGATATTCTGAAAGAACAATGTCCAAGAGGCCTACTTGCCAAAAATGAGCATTTGGGGGCAGTCCCCGGTTGGCCTTTAATGCCCACAGGAGGCAATTTTTGTCACATGCAAGGAGCTAATATAAAGTGAAGTGGGATGAGTGAGTTATATTAGTGCAGTAAGACAGCTGAAGATAGTTCTGAGACAGGACAGTATAATTTATCATTGCTTCAGCCAAAAGCACTCATGGTTTGCCGGGGCCTTGAAAAGTCCTTGAAAATCGAAAAATTGTGGGATATCCTTAAAAGTCCTTCAATTTTTATCAAAAGTCCTTGAATATTTTTGAAAGCTCCTTGAATAAAAATAACCTTTGTTTCAAAAAAGTGTTTTGTGCAAAAAACCTTGGTGATCAGGTCATTGTTTGATCTACTGTACCAGCAATCCCAGCTTCCTGAGAGGCAGATTAGAGCAAATCCAGGATTAAACTTTTAGTGTGATTGTGTTTATCTTCCAGTAGATTGTCTTAAAAATAACTAATTTTGTGTTATCATGTCTGGATCTCATATTAAGCTCTGGTTACATGTCCCTGTAGTAAAAAACCAGAGCTTAAAATTTGGCTTAACGCTGGGTTAAACCTAACTGTCTTTTGAGGAAAAAGGCCCGGGGTCCAGTTAAGAAGAGGTTTTGGTGTAAAGTTAGTTTGGTTTGCACCTGTAAATTAAGTATTCTCATCATGTGCTGATTTATTAAACACTCTGCAATGTAGGTGTTCTTCTAGACATTTCCTCTTGGGTACTTTGTGAATTCCAGGTACAATAATAACCTCTGGGTGCAATTTCATAGTGAGGTTGTGGCAGGGGGGTTGTGTGAGCCTCCTTCACAGATTGTTAGTGAGACTTCTTCAAGCAAAGCAAAGCAAAGCCTTAAGAATATAATAATGCATAAGACACTAGGAGAGTTGATGTCTGCCATGTTATGACCTGTACAATACATGTACTCTTTGTTTGTTCAACCAACATTGTCTGTAGGTATACTTGCTATTCAGGGGTGATTAGTAGCCCTATTTTAGCTGGCTACTGCATTATAACAACCCTGCCACTTTTAAGTTTGAAAGTGAGTCAAGCAAAACAAATATAGGAGGATTTGCGTGATAAATGATCAGCTACTTTCCCTAAAAGATGAGCTACCTTTTAAAAAACCTTATTGACAACCGTGATGATAATTAGATAAATAACTAAGTACCATCAACATTTCAGAAACATGATGTGCCGTTAGCTTCCATTCCATGCTTTCACCAAAAAAAAGGAATGGCTTTAGAGGAAGCAGAAGCCAAAGGTGGAAATGAAGAGAAAGACAAACTAATCGCGTGCCGCGTCGGTTTGCGTCACGCGCAGAAAATGCCACGCGCTGCTTTCGATTTTGCTTTGCGTATGCAAGCAAATTTCAATTTCGTGTTTTGCGTTAGTTAACGATTTTCTCTGAGGATCCATCAGTTAGTCAATGCATTAGCCGAAGCATTCAAGTATTGAGAATCGAAACCTGTTCGACCTAAACATCGAAAGCTTTCCTTGACATAATAATGGCAAATGAAACACCACCTGGTCAAACTTTTTCCTCGAACGAGGCAGCGTTACCAGTCGAAAAAAGGGCGCCCTTAAAGAGGAAGTCCGACGAAATCTTGGGGAATGATCAAAAGAGACGGCAGCGCAGCGAGGAGTCGTCGATTGCGGAACAAGATCGGAGAGTTATTATTAGTGAGTTGTTTGATACTTATGGACTGTTTAATAGCTGTATGTGAACCAAACAATAATAGCATTGAAGGCTGGTTTGTAGATGTTGAAGGTCAAATTTATCCTTTGTCCGCATTTAATTTTCCTATCCTTCATTTCAATCTTACTATTATCGGGAGAATTGGTAAAAGAACCAAGTATTTTTCTCTAGGTGATGATCATTTTATTAATAGGCCTTGTCACGGTTTTCGACGCCATCTTGACAAGTAGGCAAACGTGTGAGAAATCACAGTGTTTGTATGAGAATCTAATGTCGAATAATTGCCGTAAAACGGCTGTTCTGAAAGAAATATCAGTTGTAAACTAAAGCTACAAAGCAAAGGATTGTACTAAAAAATTTTGGGGACGTACCTGTGCTCAAGTTTCTTCAGATGCTTGCTTTAGATTTTCCATATATTTGTCTGTAATTTTTCCCGGGACTTTCTTACTGGCAAATGTATAGAAAATTTAAAAACATAGTTCTAGGTCTTCTAGTGCATGGCACGCCCTTAATTTTTTTCAGTAGAATCCTTAGGGGTGAAGCTTTAGTTAACAATTCATATTTCTTTCAGAACAACTGTTTTACGGCAATTATTCGATATTAGATTTTCATACAAACACTGTAATTTCTCACGCGTTTGCCTACTCGGCAAGATGGCATCGAAAACTGTGACAAGGTCTATTGTGATTATCTTTTCTCTTGGTTATGTATAGATATTGTCAGGAGAAACTTCATGTTGATCACTCTTGGGTCAAGAGCTTCCTTAAAATTTGATATCTTGTTTCCCTCTGTATGATATTCTGATTAAGTTTCCTTTTTCATTGAACAATTTAAAGACTTTTCCTCTTAGGTTAACTGTTATCTTCTTAGTGAAAGGTAGTCTCCCAAAGCTGGCTCTACCAGATGGCTGGATAGCACTGAACCATCGTAGTGGTGGAATTGTCTACCTTCATAAACCAACACGAGTGTGTACTTGGTCCCGCCCCTATCACATTGGTGGAGGAAGTGTCAGGGTATTGTGATTCATTATTAATTTTATTACATCATTATTATTATCTTTATCTTTATCATCATCATCATCATCATTTTTATCATTATCATTGTTGTTTTCATTATCATTATCACCATTATAATGTTAATAATATTATCATGATCAACTTTATTTCCATTTTTTAATCCAGACTTCAAGTTGTATTTTTTTACATGCTAGAAACCTCTGATATATTGAAAGGAAACCTTATTAATTACTTAAAATTTTGTTGTTATTTTAAAATAAATTTCATGATTTGAAATATACAGGTAATTTAATTTAAAAAATGTCATTTAAAATTATTCTAGTTATCATTTAAACAAGCTTTAAGGACAGAAAAACATCATGACAACTATGATACGTTTTCCTTTTTGTGAAATATGTGATGTATTTTGCTTGAAGAATTTTATTATTAACCATTTCACTGGTTTTTAGTAAATTGGTTTCTTAGAAAACCATGGACAGCATTTGATTGCTTTCTTAAACCATCGAAGTATGCATTCATAATTTATTACTTTAAGTAACCTTTTTGCTGTATAACCAGTTTTTCCACATTATAGTCCTTAAAGACAGCTTAATATAATTTCACTGTACAGCTGAATGGCTGCTCCATAGTCATAATGAATCTGTTTAAAAGTGATCTTGGGAATCTGTTTTGATCTAATAATATTGAGGCTTAATTATTTCATGTACCAATGATAAAAATAAAATAATTATTAGTGAGAATATTAAACATAAAATTGAATCTATATATATCTTTATGGTCACCCACCTTTCACTTTTCTGCATCTTGCGCTTGCCTTAAAACTGTCCCCGGTTGGCCTTTAATGCCCACAGGAGGCAATTTTTGTCACATGCAAGGAGCTAATATAAAGTGAAGTGGGATGAGTGAGTTATATTAGTGCAGTAAGACAGCTGAAGATAGTTCTGAGACAGGACAGTATAATTTATCATTGCTTCAGCCAAAAGCACTCATGGTTTGCCGGGGCCTTGAAAAGTCCTTGAAAATCGAAAAATTGTGGGATATCCTTAAAAGTCCTTCAATTTTTATCAAAAGTCCTTGAATATTTTTGAAAGCTCCTTGAATAAAAATAACCTTTGTTTCAAAAAAGTGTTTTGTGCAAAAAACCTTGGTGATCAGGTCATTGTTTGATCTACTGTACCAGCAATCCCAGCTTCCTGAGAGGCAGATTAGAGCAAATCCAGGATTAAACTTTTAGTGTGATTGTGTTTATCTTCCAGTAGATTGTCTTAAAAATAACTAATTTTGTGTTATCATGTCTGGATCTCATATTAAGCTCTGGTTACATGTCCCTGTAGTAAAAAACCAGAGCTTAAAATTTGGCTTAACGCTGGGTTAAACCTAACTGTCTTTTGAGGAAAAAGGCCCGGGGTCCAGTTAAGAAGAGGTTTTGGTGTAAAGTTAGTTTGGTTTGCACCTGTAAATTAAGTATTCTCATCATGTGCTGATTTATTAAACACTCTGCAATGTAGGTGTTCTTCTAGACATTTCCTCTTGGGTACTTTGTGAATTCCAGGTACAATAATAACCTCTGGGTGCAATTTCATAGTGAGGTTGTGGCAGGGGGGTTGTGTGAGCCTCCTTCACAGATTGTTAGTGAGACTTCTTCAAGCAAAGCAAAGCAAAGCCTTAAGAATATAATAATGCATAAGACACTAGGAGAGTTGATGTCTGCCATGTTATGACCTGTACAATACATGTACTCTTTGTTTGTTCAACCAACATTGTCTGTAGGTATACTTGCTATTCAGGGGTGATTAGTAGCCCTATTTTAGCTGGCTACTGCATTATAACAACCCTGCCACTTTTAAGTTTGAAAGTGAGTCAAGCAAAACAAATATAGGAGGATTTGCGTGATAAATGATCAGCTACTTTCCCTAAAAGATGAGCTACCTTTTAAAAAACCTTATTGACAACCGTGATGATAATTAGATAAATAACTAAGTACCATCAACATTTCAGAAACATGATGTGCCGTTAGCTTCCATTCCATGCTTTCACCAAAAAAAAGGAATGGCTTTAGAGGAAGCAGAAGCCAAAGGTGGAAATGAAGAGAAAGACAGCTTTCTGTCAAAGCAAGGAGCTTCAATTTTGAATGCACTAAATATGAGCGAGATGAATAGCGATGATGGGACACCAAAGGAGGATGCTGATATTGAGAAAGCACACCTTGTTGAGGGGCAGGAAAGAAATGGACTGGATGTGATCATGAGCCTTGCCAATTCAGATGGTGTGACAGAAAGTAATGAGGTGACTGGTGTGGAGATGGATGATGTGACACAAAAGGATGCTGTGACAAAGAGAAGTGATTTGGAAACACAACACTCACAAGTTGTAGAGGATTGTAGCTCTTCTAAACAGCAGGAAGGTTTGGGAAATGAGACATCTATGAAACCTGAAAAACTCGTTGAAGAGAGCAGTGGACCTCCGTTGGATCTAGTAGATGCTAAAGAGCTTGGATCATATCTTTCAAATTTATGGGAATTTCAACCTCTCACTTCAGACCAAGAAAAGAATGCTGTCAACTTCCAGCCACAAGTTTCTGATGACCTTGAACTGCCAGCTTCTTTAGAATGTCAACCATACGCACTGAAAGGTCCAGACAATTCCAAGCAATCAGGCAAAGACCTATTACTAAATCCGGGAGGCAAAACTCCAGTAGCACTTTTACATGAATACTGTCAACGAACTTTCAAAACTAAACCAGTTTATCTATCCAGTGAATGCGAGAGCGCACAAACACCATTTATGGCTGAGGTTCAGATAGATGGAATCAAGTATGGAATTGGAACAGGGTCAAACAAGAAAGTAGCGAAACAGGTTGCCGCTGAGGCAACACTAGAAGTGTTGATGCCTGGAGTTTTCAACAAAGTGCGTGATTACCAGATATCAAAAGCTGAATTAGAGGTAGGGAAAAATCATAAGAATCATCATTAAAAAAATCTTTTCAGATAGTTTTCTTATCGTTTTATGATAATTTGATTTTTCCTACTTTGATTGACTCTCTTAAGTAACTGGTGTTTCAATTCGTTAAATTCAGTTGTTTAAATCTTTATTTACCATTTTTATTTATACCCACTGTAATAATATCAAGTGAAGGCCTCACAAAACTGGGAGATGAAAAAATCACTACTTAATGTATTAGCCATTTTAGATTTTTTTGTAAGGCACACAAGAAACTTCCAAATGATATTAGAGAGTTTTAGCTTCATGTATATGTTGTGGTTCAATTTTATCCTTGGTTTAAATTTTATTTTCTTTTGTTTCAAACTCATTATCATGCATTACCGTACTCAAAAACAAAGGGAAATAAAATTTAAATGAAGGATAAAATTGAACCAGAACATATACTTCATACGGCAAATGAGAATTTTTACCACATGACTAAGTTCTCCCATTAATTTTAGAACTTTACTGTTCATTATTTCTACACATAAATTAATAGTTTCATGCATCTCTTAACCATAAGAATAATTATTGTTTTGAGCTGTTTTTATTTGCCCATTTTCTATCTTGAGAAATTCTCAACTTGAATCAGATGTTTGCCATTTGCTGTCTACATGAAGTTAAAACTCCCTCATGTTAGCTCAGGGCATCTTTCTTGGTTGCCTCTATATCGTCTACAGGTCTGGTGCATGATGGTTGAATTAAAACCCTTCTATGGTATTTATGCAAGTTGTATATTATTACGTATTAATCCCTTAACTTGATATACATGTATTTGTTTGCTTGTACACTGCACAGTTTTTTGACAAAATAGACATCGGTGATCCCCGGATCCCGGAGTTCTGTTCAAAGACAACACTTCCTAATCCATCACAAATCCTTGACGAATGTTTAAAAAGGTGAGGGCCTGTTGAATATGTTGATGTGTATCTTTTTTTTTAATATGAAGAAATTACAATCAACTTTCTCTAAACAGATGCCTCTATTTGACATACATCCCCCTTATAAGGACGCTTAGAGTCGGTTACTTGAATGATGTCTAATTTACAGCTGTAGCTCATATGGCCTAAGAAATCTTTGGACCTCCAGATTTCTTCCTTAGTTAGTGATTTAATGAAGATAAGTGCCTTTCTAGTCTATGCAATATGCTTTCATGAAGCTGTTCTTTAGATGTATGTGTTGGGAAAGCTCAAAATGTACAATTAGGTCATTTTGTTAGCACTGTCTAAAAACTGTTTAAATGACCAATCCTTTACACTTTTTGGGCAGACACAGAGCTGACTGTATATGCATCCTCAAGATTTTTTGTTTGTCCTCATTCTTGTGTAGATTCTTTTCAACAACCCCTGTATTGAATATAACACATAAGGAATGTTAACATGATAAAATATTGCAAAGGACATTTACAACCAGGCAGCTTCTTACTAAAAAATAGTAATGATATTGTGCCTCTAACTGTTGACTGCTTTATCACATTGTGGCTGGCTGTCACAGATTTTGACAATCTGCTTGTCTCCCTGCCTGCTTGCCTATCTGTCTGTCTTTCTGCCTCTCTCTTTGTCTGTCTGTCTGCCTGTCTGTTTATCTGTCTGTCTGCCTGCCTATCTATCCATCTGTCTGTCGTCTGTCCATCCATCTGCCCGCCTGCCTGCCCATCTGTCTGTCAGCCCGCTTGCCTGCCTGTCTTTCCATGTGTCGGTCCGTCTGTCATCCATCCATCCATCTGCCCTCTAGCCTGAATTTCTTCCGATTACTTCGAGTCGTTATTACTCCCTCAGTAACATCTGAATCGACTGGCCGTTAATGCGGTCCAGTGACGTCACTACTCTTTGATCTTTGCTTTAATTCATGCAAAAAGTAAAACACGATTTTCAAGTGGCAAAACGAGAAATATTGTTTGGAAATGTCTGCATGATACAGAACTGCTTTGTTTTTTCATATTTATTTATTTATTTTTCATAATTATACATAATTATGCGAATGTTTAGACAATCAACCAATCAAAATCACTACCCGGTTTTCGGGTAGTGAGTGACGTCACTGGACGGCATTAACGGCCGGTCGATTCAGACGTTGTTGAGAGGAGAAAACAACTCGAAGCAATGGGATGAATTTCAGGCTATCTGCCCTCCTGGCTGCCTGTTTTTCCATCCATCCACCTGTCTGTCTGTCCGTCCGTCTGTCTGTCGGTCCATCTCTCTCTCTGCAGTCAACTGTTTAACCATAGTCTGGAACACAACTTAGCCATCAACAGGTTCCCTGAATTTGCTCTCTTTTAATTGCAGAAACCAAGGTGTATGTCCCTCTTCTATCAACTTCACAACCGTCTGTGCGCCAGACAGAAGTCTCTCGTATAAAATAACCTGTGGCAAACACGAAGCAATGGTATAACACTCTTTCTCTAATAGGCCATATAATAATAACTAATAATAATAACTTTATTTCTATAGCGCTCTTTTCCTATGTTCAAGGTGCTTTACAGTCAAAGTCAAGGTCTTTACAGTCATATCCCCTCTGTCAGTTTTTAGGATGGAGGATTATNACCATAGTCTGGAACACAACTTAGCCATCAACAGGTTCCCTGAATTTGCTCTCTTTTAATTGCAGAAACCAAGGTGTATGTCCCTCTTCTATCAACTTCACAACCGTCTGTGCGCCAGACAGAAGTCTCTCGTATAAAATAACCTGTGGCAAACACGAAGCAATGGTATAACACTCTTTCTCTAATAGGCCATATAATAATAACTAATAATAATAACTTTATTTCTATAGCGCTCTTTTCCTATGTTCAAGGTGCTTTACAGTCAAAGTCAAGGTCTTTACAGTCATATCCCCTCTGTCAGTTTTTAGGATGGAGGATTATCATGTAAGGCTTTTCTGAGAGGAATGCATGCACTAGGAATTTGACATACCAAACACTCACAAAAAGGGAATACGTGCAAAAAAGTCTTGGTCTTTTTTTTAACAAAAGTGCACCCGGAGGCTTCCATCATGAAAGCAATTGACAAACTAAGGGAGGAGGCCCAGGCAAGGGGCAGGAGTGTGGAGAAAAATTTTTCCTCTCCTCTCCCCTTCTCCTCCTTTCTTTTGAACCATCAACCTCTCCCCTTGGAATCATTTTTTTTTTACTTGCGCTAATACTCTGACTCTGTCAGTTTCAACTTCCAAATTGTTCGCACCACAAAATACAATTGCTTTGCGGGCTAAAAAAGTCTAAGTTTTTCATTTTATTTTTTGTCTTAGTTCTTAATGTGTGACATAATTATCTTTTCAGGGTCCTTGTAAAAACAAGCGACTTGGAAAGCAGTTGGCTGCACAACAAATTTTAAAGGTACAACCGTTGTTTTCTTTGACATTCCACTCTCCTTTTATGTGGAGTAGTTGTAGATAAAATCTCTTTGCAGAATAAACCAGTATTCATCTTAGGGTGCTTTCCATTAATTTTGTCAGAACTGACCGGTCAGACTGTTCCCGTTGCGATGATGACTGGTCAGGCAATGGTCAAGCCGGCCAGTTCTGACAAATGGAAAGCGTCCTTAGTTTTGATTCAGAGTTTTCTTTGTTTCCTAACCCCATTTATTCATAGGGAAATCCTGATTTAACCTGAGAATAAATTTTACCTGCAAAAGATACACATCTAACTTTTATAAGTTGACCTGACCATTTTATCAGCGCTTTTGTTCCTGACCCCTTTACAAGTTGATCCTTACAAAACTTCATTACTCTCCATGACAGACTCATACAGTATCAGTGCCAACAGCTTCTGTCTTAAGGTGATGTTACACGGGACTATTTGCAACGACGATTATTGGTGCAACACAGCGTTGCCATGCTGGAACAATGTTGTGACCATTTGAAACAATGTCCCAACAATATTGCAACGCTGTGTTGCGCTAAAAATCATCGTTGTGAATTGTCTCGTGTAACGTCACCTTTAGAGAGAGTTGGCTGTGTATACTTCATTTTGCCAAGTTCAACTTTGCAGCCTCATCTTTCTAACCATCATCATCATCATTATCATCATTATCATCATCATCTTTTTACCTATTATTTACTCAAAGTATTGATGTTGGGTATTCTTTTGTAGAAGCTTCATCCACACCTGGAAAAGTGGGGTGCCTTGATCCGCATCTATTGTGACCGACCTACTGGTGCAATAAAAAAGGTACATACTGATTTTCTTTTGGGAAAAAGGCCTTCTCCCTGCTGCCGCCTCCTCTTCTTCTCGTCCCCTGGAGCAAGAGGGCCCTGGGGACAAAAAGAAGAGAAACTTAGGGATTGAGGTTGGGTTTTTTTTTCTGTTGCTTGACTAAGGGTCTGTTCACATGAAGTGGGGGGAACCCTGGTGGGTGAGGTAATTCGCTTAGGTGGGGTAACCTGCCTGTCCATATAATCTTTTAATTTGATCATGTTTACATGAGAGGCTATATGGACAGGCGAGTTACTCCACCTGAATGGGTTACCTCACTTAACTGGGGTCCCCTGCCACCATGTAAACAGGCCTTTAGTGTCAAAGATTTTGAAGTACACTAGATTTGATTCAATTTTTCTTCTTCTTAAAAATTCATGTTCTTTCTACTACCACTTATATAGTTGCTTTTCCTTGACGCATCTCCGTCACGAGTTGTCTTAGGATTAAACGACCTTACGGAATTTCTCCTTTACTCTTTACTCAATACAGAGGTTTGTTTGTTTGTTCTGACTTATCGCTTCTCGTAAAAGAAGAAACAGTTTATGCACACAACTGAACTGCATTAAAATAACACGGGAACCTCACATCACACCGGAAATCATTGTGAGAATACTTTCAATTCACAAAAGTAGAGTTATATTATTCCAGGGTTCATCGGAATAAACGAAAAGAAAGGCGAGGGCGTGGAATTAAAGAAAACCCAGGAGTGGTAACACTGTAAACTTTCAATTTCCGATGAAACTAGTTGCTTACTTATCCAGTCTGTAGTCTGTTTATCACAAGCACTTAACTGACGTTTAATTTGTCCAGCGTTTAATGCCTCGGCCTTTCCCCCTTATTTACACTAGATGACTTACCTACCCCACCCCTAGCCTAACATTTTGCCTAAGCGAGAAGTTAGCGTTAACGTTGGGTTAGGGGAGGGGCAGGTGAGGGGTAGTTTCCCGGAGTCCTATAGTGATCCGACGTCTTAAATGTCTAAGACGTTGTATACGTCCTGTAATGTAAATAGGCATATTCAGTAAAGACAACGCAACGTGAAAAAAAAAAACAAAGCGGAAGCGCGCGGAAAGGGCTGAATGCGACTTCGGATACTGAATTTGCTGCTCTGCCATTGGTATATTAGGTTTCTAGATCTGCGCGCGTAGTCGTCAGTGTGGTGACTTTATCTTTGCTAAATCTGCCTGCATGGTACGGCAAATGATGCCATGACTGACCACTTTTTCCTTATATTGTCTCTCTTTTTTTCTTTTGTCTTGCAGAAAAAGAATGGGCAAACAGATGCCAGATATAACTCTTCAGCGCCCGTTTTTACCGTGGATATTTAGAATTTAAAGAAGAATTTTATTCGTTGTATAATTTGATGCTAATGAAATCAATTTTATTTCTCTGGCAAAGCTAAAACATACGTAAATTTATTTTGTGTGGTAAAACATTTTTAAATTTTAAACAGGTCAAAATAACAAAACATTTTATTTATATTTCAGTACAATAAAATTTCAACGCTTTAAAAGCGTTTCTAAAAGCATAAGAAATAGAGACCTTCGTGTCCTGAATAACTGGACTTTTCGATTCTAACCTGTTACAGGCGTTGAGGGACTTGTCAGAAATTAGCAGGGGGGAGGGGGGGTGGAAACAGAGGGAGGGTCACAACTTTTTGAGACTGCAGAAAAGGGAAGGGTCGTGAAAAATGGGCCGTTAAGAGGGGGAGGGTCGTGCAAATATATGTCTGTGATTATGTCGAGGTTCACCCACAGAAGAAAAAAGAAGTTTTTTATTTTGTAAAAAAAAACACCTGGGAGAAATAGGAGAGTCGAGTGATCAGCTGTCAGAATCAGAGTCGGACTTTCTTAATGCTGTCATCTAAAATGTATGTATATGGCATTACAAAGAACAGATTAGAAATATATTTTGAGCTTTCATAATACTGACTCACTCTAGTGTACTGCAAGAACTAGATTTTATCATTTATACAAGAGGGGGAGGGTCAGGATATTTCAGGCCAAGGTCAAGGGGAGGGTTAGAAAATTTCACTCCCATTGCAGGGATGAGTCACCTCATTCCCGCACCCAAATTTAAAATTCCCACCCCTCCTGCCCCCTGCTAATTTGTGACCTGAGTACAGATAGTAGGGACGGCTTGAAGAAAAGTGAGCGGGCAAACACAGCAAGGGGTCAACCTCGCCCTGTGACGAGGTTGGGAGGGGGTGGGGAAGGGAGTGAGGGCAAAGGAGCTTCCCCTCCTCGACCTCCGTTCTTCCACAATTTTTCCTACGCTCATTATTTCGTGCCACTCTCCACCATCTGAACGCCTGGAACAGGCTATTTTGATTTAAAACTCCAAATGGTACAATTTAGTGAATGGTGTATCATACCAATTAGTTTTTATCTTTTTTCCCGTTACAATCAAATTGCCGCACTGAGATGGCCGTAAGATTTGTCAATGCATGTGCATCTGGCGTTTCTTGTATCTATGTTTTATTTAATCGAGATAACCACTCTGTTTTTGCTTGAAAACTCAGGTAGTACAGACTGTAAGTTCCACCGCTTTAAGCGGAAATTAGCAATAACGGTGGGATACTTTCATCCCGGCTGGTGAGTCTGTGTAACCCAAGTTATCTCATTTCGTAAAAGATGAAATAGAAATTAAATACTGGTAACTTACTACTTGGTGTGAAATCTTTAATGGAACGATTTTTGGGCTCGATTTTAGCCTGCGAACAAAGACGTATTCCCGGTTGTCGCTTTTTCTCACCACCCTAAGAGAGAAGCGACGGCCGGAAATAAGTCTGCGTTCGCAGGCTGGCTCGATTTTAGCCCAGGACTAGGCTCCACAGTGGGGTAAAAAGGCAAAAAACGGGGCCAAATAGGAAAAATATCGGCGAGCGAAGCGAGCGGCTCGCCGATTTTTTTCTCTTTCCCCCCACCACCCAATGCGGAGCCGAACATCGGCTGATAAACGAGCTTATTTTTCCGTGAGTATTGTAGTGGTGTTAATTCGGGATAGATCGGGATACTCGTCCCCAGGGCTTTTCCCTTAGAAAACGGGAGCGAAATACGTGGGGACGAGGTTGATGGAATGCCTGGTAGTATTAAATTAAGGTTTATTTCAAATAGTTGTTTTCTTGTTGTTTTTTCATTTTCCATTTTTACAATACAGGGAATGCATCAAAGTCAGAAAAGTCAGACATTCCAACCCTCCCGATTTGTTGTGTTGTCTCCCGCTCTCCTGATTTTTAACAGATTCTCCCGATTTATCAAGAAATTCTGAAAAGAAGGGAAAAAATTGACTAATCTTTAGTATTTTTTTTGCGATCTGAGGGTAAAACGTTACATATTACACTTTCCTCTCGTACAATGAGTTACAGAACAACTCAGAAATGATGTCAAAACGCACTTGAGAGAACCTAAATTTGCAAATTTCTAGGGAAACATGCCCCAGCCCCCCTTAGAGGCTCATGCCTTCGGCGCTCGTATAAACTTCTTCAAAGCTAAAATGAGTCTCTCTATTTTCCTTTAGAAGGGGTTGGAATGTCTGAAAAACCCGCTGAAAAGTTTACAATAGAGAGATTTAACGGCAAACGTAAAGGGTAAAGGTGACCCTTTAACATCACTCTTATATCACATGTTCCCCACATAGGATTTCTGCATTATTCAACTGAGATTTTTATTGTTACAGAGAAGTTAGTTTGAAAATCAGAGGTTTTAAAATACGATTCTGCTTTGCATCTAGCAATTTTGCTGTTTAAACCAATCAAAATGTCAATAGAGTGTACCCATCCTATTTACAGGTCAAGTTACGTGTTATGCAGAGTTGAACACGTGACTTGAATTTTTCCAGCCATTCGCAGCCACTCGCTGATTTTTGACTTGTAATAAGCACTTGAATTTTCACGTTGACTACTCTTACAAAGACGTAAGTAAATTTTCTCTATATTTTCTTTACTTTTACTTTAAGATATGTTGCCAATTAAAATGCCTACCATTACAGAATAAACTAGCCTTAAAAATTACTAAATTTTAAGGGCTAAAATGTCATTTGAAATAGCCGGAAAACAATTGAACTTCCGTTCTCAGCTGATTTAGAGTTCGATGCCAAAAAAATAGAATCAAAAGCTGGAATCATTTTGTAAATCGTCAAAACTACAAAAATATTTTAACATCTGACAGCGGTTACGCTTATTTAAGCACTGGCAGATCACACTCTACTAGAATTTCATGAAAGGTCACCGAGAATTTTTTTAAAACTATCTTGAACATCTTGCGGACGACTAGTACTAGTGATACAGCAGGATAGATTCCCTTTACGGTCTTCAGAGACGTTTTGCATGGACTCAAAAGACCTTTTGTGGATGACTGTCGAAAGTTTCTTTACTTGTTTCGATCTTGTCACTATCTTTGTTCGGGTCTTGTTTTCGATCTTGCCTGGTGTCCCTGGACGGCGTTTTCATAGGCCGTTTCGATGACGTATCCAAGCGATCCTTTTGGACCACGTGATCCGAAAAGAACCAATACAACGCATGGGAAAACGAAACCTAGGGACTGCCATGTACCTAGACGTCTCCTTTTCGATGTGCTGATTTGCGCGCAATGGACAGTGGGAAGGAGAAAGCAGAATTAACCTTCCGGTGATCCCTCGCCCTTCTTCTCTTGTCTCTTGCGACCACCACTGTTCCCGACCAAAGTGCAAAACGAAGCGCCTTAAGAGGAGGCAGGCCTAGGTATTAGGCTAGTTTGGGTCCACAGAGGTAGAAAAACCGAGCTCAAGAGGAGTTTTACTGATTTTTCTAACAGTGGGAACGCCTACTACTCTGTTACCATGACAACAATAGAGTACGCTTCGCAGGCCCCTATTGAACCCTTCCATGTACCACATGTAAAGCAGCGGGTCAGCGGCTGCGTTGAGAAGAACTAACAAAACAGTGATGATATAAGCCGTTGAACCGTAGTAAAATCCGGAAACGCAAAAAATCAGCAGATACAGGACATAATTCGGCGACCAGCACAAAGTGTGCACAAGTGTTATGACAATCAACATGAATGTGACTCGCTTTCGAGCCTTCAGCCTTGCGTATTGGACCAAATTTGTGA